AGGTCTTAAACAAGATATTAACTCCTGCAATTTTGTAATAAGCAGTTTTTTTCTAGGACCCATTTAACTTCATTTTCTGAAACGTCTGGCTTTCGTTCAGTGATCAAACCTTGTAATGTATCAGTAATTTGGGTATTCACTCCCTCTCTTCTTTCTTCAGTATATTTTGGCAATCTCTGTCTTTTATAATGCCTATCTTTGCATTTTTTCTCTTGTCACCTTGTCTCTTCTTGCTGTTCTCTTGCTCAGCATTTGGTTGGATAAATTTTTCTCTGTTGTCTTTTGCTTGCTGCCTTTCTTTGGTGTATCAGCAGATAAACATTTTGGTTTCTTTTGCTTTTTAGGATTTTGTTTATTTCGTCTTTAACGATGTCACCAATTCCAGAGTTTTGCAGGCACTCTATTTATTAAATCTAATCCATCAAATCTGTCCCCCCGCCCCCACTGTTTAATCACATGTAATATAATTCAGGAATTGTAGTTCCTGGATATCTGGAGAGCATCAAGTTGGGTAAGAGTAGTGTAGGTTAGGCTGAACTAGATGATCTATTGTCTGACTTGGTATCAGGTCTGGCTCTGCCATTAGATGTTTTTCTCACCTCCTTTCCATTCTGGAACGTCTCTTTTGAACAATTTGCACAGCCCTAATAATTTGGCCTCAAATACCAATATAACTGGTACTATGAAGGGGGTACAGCAGGCAATAATGGGTGAATGGGGTGAGGGTTAGGGCTCCAACGGTGCTGAGAGCAGTAGCTGAGAGCACCACCACCCTCTGATTGATTGAGGCGTGTGTATGGCTAGATGGAGGGCCCCCTAACCAGGGAAACCGGAGGCTGGAGACTGGGGGTAAATGGAGGCTCTGGGGAAGTTAGGGCAGGTTATACTATTCAGGTGGTGACGGGCAGGGGATATTATGATGGGAGTCAGAGGGCGGGCTGCTCTCAGGGAAGGCGCCCCTGGTGTTTGCTACTGGTGGCGTGTTCCGGCCCTCTGGACTCAGACCCAGGCCCCGAACGCAGATCTATGGTGGCCCTGCCTTTTGGCTGCTGCTTCTTAATGCCAGGCCAGTTAACAACAAGGCCCCCCTTATACATGATTTAATCGCTGAGGAGCGGGCTGACCTGGTGTGTATTACTGAGACCTGGCTGGGCCCTGAAGGGGAGGGTGCCCCTTTCACAAATGTGCCCAGCCGTGTTTACAGTTTGGCACCAGCCGAGACCCCAGGACAGGGGAGGAGGGGTAGCGGTTGTCATCCAGGACTCTCTATTGGCCTTCAGGGGTGCTGCTCCACAAGTGGCTGTCTGTGAGACCCTGTTCCTGAAGCTGGGTTCGCGAGAACAGTTGGGATTGTTGCTTCTGTACCAGTCTCCCTGCTGCATAGCAGCCTCCCTGCCTGAGCTGCTGGAGGTAGTCTCGGGGCTGGTGGTGGAGTTCCCCAGACTTATGGTTCTGGGGGACTTTAATCTGCCATCCCTGGGACATGCCTTGGAAGCAGCCTGGGAGTTCATGGCCACCATGGTGGCCATGGGCCTGTCCCAGATTATTTGTGACCTGACTCGGGACAGTGGCCTCACGCCGGACTTGGTTTTCTTGTCTGAGCAATGGCAATGTGATCTGAAGGGGGAATTACATCTGTCGCCCCATCATGGTATGATCACACCCTAGTGGTCTTGAGATTTTCCTATGCCACCCCCCTCCACAGGGAGGCAAGACCCATTTGATTGGTTTGCCTCCGGCAACTGATGGACCCAAAGGGATTCTAGAGGGACCTGGGGACTATACCTGAGGATCTGCTGCATGGTCCAGTGGAGGCCCTGGCCGCCACCCGGAATAGGAAGGTGGCTGGACCCTTGGACAAGATCGTGCCCATGCAACCTCTCTTGACCCATCAAGCCTGATACTCCCCGTGGTTTACGGAGCAGTTGAGGGTTCTAAAAAGGATTAAGAGACATTTACAGTGCCGCTGGAGGAAAACAAGGACCAAATCCAACTGAACACAGGCTAGAGCTGCTATTAAGGTCTACCTTGTGGCGGTAAGAGTGGAGAAACGTCAACATTTCTCCGCTTTTATTACATCCGCAGAATGCTGCCCAGTGGCCCTGTTAAAAATAATTCGATCTCTTCTGGGAAAGGCAGTCCCAGTGACCCACCTACAGGGCCGCGCAGAGGAGTTTTCTGGGCATCTGGTGGATAAAATCGCTCAGATACATTCCCAGTTGGATGCCAAGCATGTGGCATGGCCTGTGGAGATGCCTGGGGTATGTACTTATCCTGTTATCTGGGAACAGTTTGATCCTGTTGGACCTGAGGAAGTGGACAGGGTCCTCTGAGCTGTAAATGCCACCACCTGTCAATTGGATCTATGCTCCTCCTGGCTGGTTAAGACAGCTCGGGAGGTGACGTGCGGTGGGTCCAGGAGATGGTGAATTCATCCTTGAGAGAGGGAGTGTTTCCAGAGGCCTTTAAAGAGGCATTCGTACACCCCCTCCTCAGGAAACCATCACTGGATCCAACATACTAGACAATTTTCGTCCAGTCTCCCCCCCTCCCCCTTTTTTTTGAGGAGGGGGGTAGGGGGGGGGGGGGTGAGTCGGGGAGGCAGGGGGGTGAAAAAGAGGAGACAGCCGC